TCAAAATACAGCACTTGTCTCCCTTCTCTCCTGCCCCAAATGTAAAAGTTAACAGCGCTGGCCTTTAATTGAACATGATGACCGTAGATTCATCAAGAAATCTGCCTGGCCTCATTCCCCTCAGGGCTGCTGCTGGCAGTTCCACAGGAATGGGAAGGTGTTACCATGTTTGCAGTGGTTTCAGGATTTCTTGACCATAGTGTTAAGCGTTGCTGCGTTTTGCTGGGCCGGGGGCCGCGTTCCCGCTGCGTGCCCAAGGCGGTCCGTACGCACTTGGTAACGTTGGGCTCGTTGGGGTGGTTGGAGCAGCAGAGACACTGGAGGCCAAGCTGGCCCTCGAGGAGGAGAGACCGGAGGACAAACAACACGGAGCTCCTGCGCGGTGGGAAAGCTCTGAGCGTGGAGCTGGGCTGCTCGGGACACCACTGATGGCAACAGCTACTGCCCGGGCTTCTTCAAAATACAGCACTTGTCTCCCTTCTGATGGCAACAGCTACTGCCCAGGCTTTCCACGGTGCATAACTTCCATGAAACTATTATTTGTGTTCATATTCAATTATTCTAAAGCCTGTTAGTTTCCAGATCCTTGTCTAGTAAGCCCTTCATTGTTTTAAAACCTCTGCTGGGTAGTTTTTAATGCTTTTAATCCATATTTTCCTCTTTTCAAAACAATCTTAGAAGTTCTTAAATATTAAAACAAAGACATGCTTTTTCAAGGCAACTTCCTGAAAATCTTTAATCTCTAAATTCTGCTCCTTGTTATATGGGCACAGAAGCCCATATAACAAGGAACCCATGAGTATGTGGCTCCTGGAACTGCAGAGCTGTTGTGATGGGTCGTTCAGAGGAGACGAAGAGCCGGTGCGTTTGACTGGCACCGTTCGTGGTGTCTCCCTGTGCAGTGGCAGTGTCACATTGTACCATACGGCAGCCTGGTGTTCCTTGAGTGCTTGTGCGCTGTTCATATGGATATAGGTCAAAGCAGCAGCAAGTATAGGGGCGTGAGGTAAGAAAAGGCTGCGCTAAATGTCATTTCTTCTCGGATATAGCCCACTAGGTCTCATGTAATTAGGCTGCTTCTCAAACATTCTCCTGATTCCAGTGCAGTTTTAGGGAATGGAGGTTAAACTGGATGATTTTTGAGGAACGTGGAAAGGTTTCAGTTCAGCAGCTCTCGCAAGGAAATGCGGAGCAGGCTGCTGTATGCTGTATGCATTGTACGTGGAGTAACTGCTTGAAAGAATGACTTGGTTTGTGTTGTGTATTTTCCTCTTTTTCATTCTTTTTCATCTTGTGGTAATTAACTTCGTAAATTTGTCATTTATTTTTTGAAGGGCCTTCTTACTTATTCCTTTTTAAGTTTGAATGCTCTTTGAAAAGAGTTCGCTAATTTGCGAAAGATGGATTTTTGTTTTGGAAAATGTCAATTCCGTGTTCACATGTTAATAAAACCTGAAAACTAATATGCAAAAAGATACTATTACTGATGTCTTCTTAATATATGCCTCTTAATTTACATTCCTTAATTTCTAATGTGTATGCCCTGATTTGCAGTCTTCATATGTGATTGCATGGAACATTTTACAAAGACTTTTAGTGGCTTTTAATACACATATAAGGCTTTTGGAATTGGATATTATTGTATTTATGCTTGAAAATATTAGGAAACCATGAAGTAACTAAACCTTAGAGGATGTTTTACCGAGCACCCTCCAAGAAGAACTGAACATTGTTGGGAAGAAACAACTGTAGTTTATTTCTAGAAGGTGAACACGATGCCTAGATTACAAGGTAAAAAAAAGAGTCCAAGTTGGGCTTTATGGTGTGGCCTGATCAAGGGCTCTGCTCTTCTTTTGGTCTAATCTGGAGCTGCTTTTGTTCCTGTTGTTTAATGACTTGCCTGCTCCAAAAGGAGGGTGTTCACCAGGGGAAGATGTCAGAGTGTCTTCTGAACACAAACTCATTCTTTGGGGACGTGGGGACACCATTCTATTTATTATTTTCAGATGTACAGAGTCGGGAAAATACATAGATAATGTTTATGTCTCAGTTTTCTTACATGGGAGATCTTAACTCGGGGTTGGAGGTGCCTCCTCCAGACGACAGGTCTAGGTCACTGTCGGCGAGGTTGATTTTTGACTTCTAACCAACCTGCAAGGCAGCAGCTCTCCCAGCCTGGGCTTTGAAAGTCCTGGGAAACGGAGGCAGACTTTGCCCAAACTTGTTCCCAAAAGTTGATTTTTCTCTGTTGTTATTCTTCAGATCCATTATTCTGGGATAATAATTGGTCGATGCATTGGACAAACGGGTTTTGTTAGCAGTGCTGAAGACGTCGTGTTGTTCTTGGAAGCGGCCGGGATGGAGGAGGAAAGGGACACGGCACGTTTCATAGACGGTGTTTTTGTTTTGCAGTTTTGGGCATTCGCAAGGTGGAACGGGATCGCCATGTTTCGAAACAGCCTCAAGATGCTTCTTACAGGAGGAAAGGCAAACCGCAAAAACAGGTCCAGTGGTAAGTAAATGCCAATACCTCGTGTATATATTTTACTTACAGTTTTTTAAAGCATGTCTTTCATGTCTGCTGTTTTGCTCTTACTGGGTCTTTTTTCTTTTTAATTAGTATATGTAGTTAGTTGGTGATCTTGTCGGCTCAAAACATCATCATACAGCATTGTAATTTTGTGTGGTGGTTTAATATTTAAAAAACCCCAATCCTACATACAGACCACAGAATTTAGTTTTACTAGGGAGATAAGATGCACAGGAAAAACAAATAATAACTGTGTGTAAGCCTGCAGTAAATCAACATCAAAGTTCATATTTCAATAATGGTAATCAAGAAGACTATAAATCAAGTTTTGTTCAAGGTGATACCATGTGTGAATCTTCTACAATACAGACAAAATCTGTGATAATAATTGCATTTTTTTTTCTCAATATGAATAACATAATCCTGTAAAATAAGGTAGTTTTGTTTGGGCGAAATCACGACTAATAACTCGCCCTGGGTAATTGCCACTTCTTGCAGTTTTCAAGTAGTTAGACAGTATAACGGAGCTGTAGTAACAAAGGCTGAGGCTACTGCAGAATATTGAGTTTGATATCTGTGCTAAACTTTTGGTTAAGTTTAGTGAAGTTGCAATAATGAAGCTTGAAGTGCTGCTGGGATACTTATTACCTCTACTCCAATAGAGAATATTGTAGGCAGATTTCATAGAGCACACCCAAAACATCTCAATTCCCATTTCCAAGCCACCCTGTGAGTATTACATAATATAAATTCTTTCAACATTCAAAAATATGTTTGTATTTCTGTGCGTGCACACATCTAACTTGCGGAATCTCAGTGCAATTTGGAATACCATTTTTCCTACTCGTTGCTGGGGTTGATGCTTAAGCTTTGCTGCAGAATGTGGATTTATAATTGCGGGAGTGTTGGTCAAAAGTTCTGTTTTGGACAGTCGGTGCTCCTGGTAGGCTCCATCTGAATTTAGCATGGGTTCAAATATCTCCTAAGCCTGTTTGATGCATGAAGGAGGATAGAGATGGTTCTTGTTGTAAAGCAAAACGTTGCAAAAATGTTGGTAAGCTTTAAAAATACTTCCAACTTTCCTAGTTATTTCCAAAAATGGAGTCCTGGCAGTGTAAGAGCTTTTAAGTAGCTATTTTATTTTTTCTTTTCCAAGCCATCTGGCAGCACATTTGGATATACTGGGACCTATTGTTTGTTAATGCTTGTGCTTGCATGTAAACAGTGTGTGTGTGTGTGTGTGTGTGTGTGTGTGCATTCCTGGGGAAACCACAAGTGCTTGTGCAAAAACACAATGGTGATTAATGCAGAGGAGAGAGGAACCAGGGCTGCATCCCTTTGGCTGAAACCAAGGAATATGTATTTGTTTTACTGTCTTACTACCTCCAGTCTTACTTGGGAGAAGGGGATGTGTTTTTAAGCAGTAATGCTGCACTGTTCCTGGTAGCAGGGCTGGCTTTGTCATTTCAGTTTTTAGACCGGAATAATCTGCTGAGAATCTGCTTCTGGTGACAGTCCTGGGTAGTGTTGGTTGATGCTGACAATGGTTTAGCACAAGAACTTTAGTGCTGCCTCGTTGCATTGTAGTCCTTGGTTTGTACCTTTTAGTGTGCAAGGACGTTGATCTCACAGCGGGTTCCCAGGACCAGGCTGGTGTTCCCATTCACTGGTGTCATGACGTTGTTCATTTGCTTTTTATCTCCTGCTTTTGTTGCCAGCGTGGCCCTTTGAGCAAGGTACCTGCAAGGAGAGAAACACGGAGGTTTGGGACAGTCCTGCTGTGGATGGCTCTGTCCTCTGTAATTTCACACCGCATTCAGGTCTGTCATATGGACAGTTTGAAGCCCAGGAAAGGGCAGATCCTGCCCTGATGACAGGTACAGCCTTCCAAAATGTGCAGTGGACGATCCTGAACAGCGGCAGAGCCAGCTCTGTGCCAGGTGTCCCCAGTCCCTGCTGTTCCTCTCTGTTCATCTCCCTGTGTTGAGGCCCCTGCACATGCAGAGCTCTCCCAATACTGGTTTCTTTCTTTGTGAATGAAAAACTTCAGTTCCCAAATACCAAGATTGGACATGGCTATACATTTCTGTGAGTAACATATACTACCATATGTTTCTGTCTTTAACTCTAGTAAAAATCTTAGTTATGCAATGGAGATTTATGTTGTCCTGCATAAATGCCCCCAGTAATAGTGATCAACAGCTTCTTAAGTTTAAAGCTTACGTAAATCATTGCAGTTGCTCCTCATTCGTCCCTGGTTACTGCTCTATTGTCCCCCAGCTGAGCTGGCCGCGCTGGAGTGATGCAGGTGACATCTTCACAGCCCAGGTGACATCTTCACGGCCCAGGTGACATCTTCACGGCCGTTCCTCGGGACATTTGGGCTGTTTCTGCTGTTGTTCCTGGCTCATTTCTAGGGCCTGAGCCCGTCACTGAGGATCATGTGCAGTAGAGCAGCCCTTTGGCACGGCTCTGAAGCCCACCTGGATATTCCTGCTCTGACCTGCTGGCTTTGCCTGTGCTGAACCTCCACCCTGTCCTTCCCTTCATCCTCCCTCCCTTCCCAAGAAGGGGGCGACTAGGGCTGCATTTTTCACCACTTTACAGCCTTCTCATATGGTAAGCACATACTTTAAATTAGTCACCTATATCATGTTTGCCTTTCCAGGCCCTCAGTGTTAGGACTCTGGTATTTTTAGGTGGAAAGCTAGGATGCTTGTTTTTGTTTGTTTGTTTAAGTACTGTAAATTAGACATTTAGTCTACGTTTATCACCCTGGCATTAACACGAGGAATTAAAGAGCAAAAGAGAAGTTGGATTCTGGGAACGGAGCTTCCCAGATCACTCTGGTGATCGCTCGGAGCAGCCGAATCGGCGTAGCCGTGCCGGGGGGACGTCACCCTTGTGAAGGGCACTAAGGGGAGGTGTTAGGGGTGTTGTGGCTCTTGGGGGGGTCGAAGTGAACGCCCCGGTCTCTGAAATCAGCCTTCTTGGCCGTTCCTGTCTTTGCAGCACCGTAAGCAGCAAGCAGGGCAGCAGAGCCGGGCTGACAGCCTTGCTGTGGCTTTGGCAGGTCCTGGCCATTAAAAGCACGCGAGAGCCCTCACATGAAAGTGTCTCGTTGTGCTGCCCCTTCCCGAGAGTGCTGAGCAGCTTCTCTGAAGGGCTGCGCTTGAAACGTGTTTTGACTCAGCTGCTTTCCGTGTTACCCTTTATGGCATTGTGGCTCATAAATTAAAATATTTATAAAAGAAGAATACCAATTACATGCATATGAATGTACAGTTACACGCAGTAATGGCAATTAAAATAAATGAATTTCTACTGCAGCATCAGATTGCGTAATCTCCCGTGGTTAATTTTTGCAGTGTGTTTTCCAACCAGGCCTGATGGGATTTCATGGCAGGGCACTGTGTGTGGTGCAGTTCTGTGCCTGCCTCTTTGTGCACACGCTTCATCTCATGTCGTAACGAAAATCCCCCTGCGACGGAAGCAGGGCACTGAAGATATTTTATGGTAATGCCCTGAGGATGCATTAAAATTGCGACCATATCTTGATTTGAATAGATTTTTCTCTGCCATAAACCGATCTTCTACAAAGCTACGAGGCACCAGCGTTCCCAAAGATGGTTTTGATCCGAATATTGTTAAATATTGCTATAAAATCCTCAATTTTTGAAGCTATGTGGATGTGTAAGATCTGTCCCCATGTTTGTATGCGGGGCCAATATGAGAATATTGGAAGGCCCAAATCCACAGCTCCCGTCTGTGTCTGCAGGCTGCTGCGCGTGCCCAGCGCTCAGTGATCGGGGTGGATATTTGAACAGTTCACATTAAATCAATTCGCTAATATATTCACTGCAATATTTTATTAGTGACATAGGCCTACGTGATAGATCTACCCTTTCCACCAATTTTAATTATCCTCATTTCTTTTCCAAGATGGACTATTTCCTTCCTAAGATATTGCATTAAATTACTCCTGCTATAAGAGTTACATTTGCCATTAGAAGCTTGTAAAATGCAGCTGTAAACAGGTTTGTTGTGTTTGTTTTCAGCTTTGTATCTTCTGTGTGAGGCGGCAGCCCAAGAATTGGTGCATTTTGTTTCCGACGGAGACCGTGGTCGGTTCCCTGCTCTCTCTTCAGGTTAGACTCACCAGGGAGACGCAATCCTCCATCCCGTTACCACAGCCCTGCTCTCTGCTCTGGTTAGCGAGGAGTTAGACCCCGTTATATCCCTCATTGATGGGAGGCTCCCCATTGTTTTCCATGAGCTTTCTAGCTAGGAATCTGTCTGTTTTTCATAATAGTTTTGTTCTAAGTTCCTTAGAACCTCTTCTGCTCTCCTCATTCACAGGAGAGCCAATTCCTTCTAACTGTGTTTATATGGCTTTTTGGACCCTGTCAGTTCATATTTTAATTCCGGGACTAAAGGAGCCCTCGTCGAACACTCTCTTCTCTTGATTTGTGCCCTTAGAAGATGAAAGGTTTTTCTGGGCCGCTCCCAGCATCGCTTTGCCACAGCCCCATGCAGTTTCTTACCCATCTGATCTTCCTCCTGTGTACATGAACGTGCTGAGGGCTTCCGAGAGTGACAAACACTGTTTGGGTTTCCTTTTGCCATGAAATTGCTGAGTGATCAGATCCAGGTGATGAATCCCATAGACGTTAGGATAAGCTAACTTGCCAAGATATTCAGAGTGAGGTGCTGGAAGCCATTTCAGGCTTACAGCATTTATTGTGGTGGTGAATAGTGAGTGCATCCATCTGCTCAGGGTACTCTATCCAAATAGAATTCAGACCATCTTATTCTAACAAATTTGGTAGATTTTTTTTTTTTAAGCAAATCTTAACCTATATTGACTAGTCCGCTACCACTCAATTCAATTTGAGAATGAACCAGACCTATCTTTAAGTTCATTGTACAGCCATTGTTTTAATTTATATAATTCAAGGTACTTCATGAGACTTCATAGGGAA